CGAGCTGGTTGCTTAACATTTTGCAGATGTCTTAACGAAATTCATCAGGCTAGAAATTGTTAAAAATGCATAGATTCTTTGGACAAAAGGCAAATTTTGTTCTTTACAGAAGTTGAAAATTTCGATAGCTGTCAGCCATCCTTCTGAAAACGTATGATAGCGTATCATCGTCATTGGGTGTTACAGAGGCCTTTAGATTCAAGGGCGATAACTTCTAAGAAGAGATTTGACTAGAAGTTTTTTTGCGTATTCTGAAAAAAAAATAGACATCCCGGAAAGCTTCATTTTTTTTTTTAACGAGAACAGTTAACACGGTTATTTTTTTAAAGGAGATTGAGCCCTCTCCCGATCGCAAAATACAACACTTCCAACATTTGTTGACTTGTTTCCGTCACTAAGACATTTTCGCTAAAACCTGTGGCTAGAAAGACGACGGGTATCACGTTTTCCCGCCAAATGACGCCGGTTCACGCGCGCGCACAACTTGGTGTTGAGAATCTCTCGCTCACGTAGTCGTCATCGTCTTAGAATCTAAAGGCCTCTGATTGCAACGACATTCAAGAGTCCTGATCTGTAACAGTATCTTTATTGTGCCTTACTTTCCATAAGGAGGTATCGGTCTGTTCACGAAGTTTTGAGGTTCGTTTTATAACGCTTCTTAAAGTTCGCTGTGCGTCTTTGCATGAAATTCTGAAGTTTGACCATCAAAATGAAAGCTACTGGGCAGTACTTTCCTGTGGTGCTGTTTATTATGCTGTACAAGGTGGTTTTAACTTTTGAGTGTGTGGATGAAATCCTTAAGTGTGACCATTTAAATGAAAGCTACTGAGCAGACCTTTCCTATGGTACTGTTTATTATGCTGTACAAGGTGGTTCTAACTTTTGAGTCTGTGGATGAAATCCTTAAGTGTGACCATTCAAATGAAAGCTACTGAGCAGTACTTTCCTGTGGTACTGTTTAATATGCTGTACAAGGTGGTTCTGACTTGATTCTACAGATAGAATATGAACATTCATTTGAAAGGTAATAATGAGTAGTAGAGTAGTACTTTACTTCGGTACTTAACAGCGTGTTTTAGCTGCTTAGCCCTTGCAACTCCAATGTCACCGACTGGAGGTTTAGTTCTATAGTGTAACCATATAAACGAAATACAAATCAGGGGCACCCAACGACTATTTCCTTTAAAATATCTGTTCGAAGAAGCAAATACTCTCTTGAATTACCTGCAGCTTGAGGGCACCACTGAAACATTTGTAGATGACCGTTCCATTCATATGCGATTTTCGAAACTTATCTTATAAATTAGCTACGATTTTCTGAAGCCTGAGTTTAATTTTTCACATTTCCTTCCCGGGATAGACTATATTTGGTAGAAAAAAGGAAACCTAAAATTTTGGAAATTTTGGAAAATTTGGGGAGAGGGGAGTCAGAAAAATTCTCTCCTCTATAAAGCTTTAAGATGCATGTAAAAATTTCGAGAAAATAATACTGAAGCCATTGTAATTTCGAAAAGGCTCAAGTGGCCCCAGGATGACCGAACAGATACGAATTTTATAGCGCCGCTTAGACCGCATTTCTAGAGCTCTAAAAGTACTCTGGAGAGCTTAGAAAGTTTTCCAATGTATTGAGGAGGAAACAGTCGTTGGCCACGGGTGGACCTGATAAATACCGTTTGTGCGAGATTTTTAAGAAATTGGGTTTCTTCTTACAGAAGGGTAAAAATTAGGAAAGTCGCTTAAGTTTACAGATAGTTGTCAGTTATACAAGTATAAGGTATATTGCTTTTTTAGATTTAACACCTAGTGTGATCAACGAAATGAGAATGAAGTAAAACTCATTTATAACTTCAATCATCTCTGTCAGGAAATTTTCTTAACAACCTGTCCTAAAGAACGGATGTATAAATTTTCGGTCTCAAAACAAGGGAACTGTTAACGCCATGATTTTAGCATGTTGCCAAAGTACTGGCCTTATATCAATCAAATGTTTTATAGTCGAACTTAGAAGGATTATTTGTTCATCACCATTGTCTTTTTAACCAAAGAAAAATCAAGAAGAAATCATTTGTTTTTCCCTACTAGAACAGTTCATAAAGCTAACAAAACGAAGAACAAATTACTGCTATTAATTTGACAATTTCGGACATCTTGTCAAAAATATGAACTGCAGCAGATGGCCTCGCACTTATAAAAGTAATTTGTTTTGTTGGAAGCTTAAAAATACATCACCTAATATGCACTATTTTAGTACATCGAGTTCGGGAGAGAATATCATTTACTTTTTGGGCTTTTAGTATGACCGGAAACTTCGTAAGCAAGAGGATCTAACAAGCATTGAAAGCAAGTAACTGCGATTTCATCCTGTCATTTCTAGGTCTGTTACAACAGTTTTCTTCTCGTTTTATTAAATGTTTTGGGTGTTCGTAAATAGCCCTAAGATCAGATAAAGACATTGTACAGTTAGCTGAGAGGATAGTAGAATCAATTCTATGATCAATCTGACCGCAAAAGTCGTACCAAAATAGCAATAGAGATAGTTCGTACGAAAACTGAAGTTGCTCGATTTTACTAACTGGATCATAGTAGAAAATTCTGGTTTACAGAAGGGAAGAAAGAAAAAGCGTTGGATAAGGAACTAAACGACAAAAATTGCACGATTTTTATCATCAAATACGTAAATGATTTGCGTCACTTCGCAAATAAATTTTATGTTGACTTTTGCTGTTTACGGCAAAATCTGGTAGGAAATTAGTAATTTTGCTGCGGTAAGCTTTCTGTCAACTTAAAAAATAAATTTCCAATTTCGAGTTAGAATTAGCAAAAGTGAGACTCTTGAATACAACAAAAACGTTTCAAAACTGGTCCGATACGACAACAAATGTATCTGTTCGCTTCCACCAATTTTCGCAGAAATGTTCTTCTCGTTTAACGTTGGCCATGATTAAAATTATTTTTCAAAGTGGTAAAATCTCAATATTTTTTAAAAATGCAAAGCAATACGAATTCTCCCTAATCAAACTTACTGAAAATATGTTTTGTCGAGCGATATGGGCTTGTTTTGTAAAATCAAACTAACCAGAAGATCGCGTTATTGTTCGTTTAATTTTTTTCCTCCCCGGAAATGAATTCAATTTTGTTAATATTCTTCGACAGTCTTTGTATTTTATCTCTTCCACCAGCGAATTTGCAAAAAGAGAAAGTCGTTTTTGACACGTCTTAAGATAGATCTGCAAACAAAGCGATATTGTTCGAAATTATATTTTTAAAACTTTGAGTAAATATATTTCCAATTCAGTGCAGTTTTACGTGAGTGAAAGTGGCTTCCAATGAAAGAACACTATTTTGATTGTTAGTTTCAACAAAGGCGGTTGAAGTGCCTTTTGCGCACGCGTAAGGAAGGTCAGTATAAAATGAGCAAAGTCACTAATGAATTCATCTAAACTGGCTCGGATTGTCTCATAGGACGAAGAAATTTAGAGCTTTAAACTGAGAATCGCATGTTATGGTTTTGATTTAATTTTTCAGAGCCATACAGTCTTCAGAGTGATCTCAATTCTAAAACCTTCAACTGGTAGAAGACGAGCGGCAAAGGACCCAGTGAAAGCAAGAAACGAAGGGTGAACTTCGCGGAGAATTCCGCAACGTTCATAACTACGTAGATTCCCCAATCATCGTCATAGCGTTATTTGAACGAGCCATGACAGTAGTAGCTGTGGTTTTATTTTCAATTTTGGACGTGGTAGCCGCGTTCACAAATCTAACAGTTCTATGCATTATCCTACCAAGAAATTACTTGCGAACGGTTAGCAATTTATTTCTTGTTGGGTTGACTTCGACCCAACTATTAATGACACTGCTTGTTATACCATTTTCGATCGTGACTTTCTCGAAACAGGAGTGGAGTTTCAGCGATGGTTTTTGCAAGTTCGAGGGCTACTTAACGACTTTTCTATCCATTTCGTCGGCGACGTTTATATCTGTCATTTCAGTGGATAGGTTCTTCTCGCTAGCCAACCCAATGAGCCATGCTGGAAACATCACTGGAAAGCATGTCATTTTTGCCTCGCTTTTCAACTGGTTTCATTCGGCATTTTGGGCCGCTTTCCCCCTCTTCGGCCTCGAAGGATTAAACTACAACTACTTCCCAGCGAAAAATGGCTGTGCTTTCCGATGGGATCTCAAGGGATCATACCGCATTTTTTACTACTTTATAGCAATGGAAAGTTTCATCCTTCCTAGCTTCACAATTTGTTTAATGTACTTTAAAAGTTTCCAGACCGCGCGAAAGAGCGCAAGGCAAATTCGCCCAGGAAATATCCAAATACAAGTCTTACAAAACGGAGAATTCACCACGGTCGCTCAGACTAACTCTTACCAAAGTTGCAAAGCAAACTGTACTTTAACTGTAATCATCGGCTCTTTTCTAATTTCAAGAGGACCGCTCACGATCTTTAACATTGTGAACAGCTTTACCGGCGAAGGATACTTCTCCTCGCTGACGGAGACAACTGTTTCGTTTCTCTTACTTCTTGGCCCTTTGTTAGACTCCTTAGTTTATTTTTTCCTGAACAGAAAGCTTCGACAGGAGTTATATTTAATTTTACGCAAGTGTTTCAAGAGCAAAAGCGACGGTGATGAAGAACCGAAGGATATCGTTGACTACCTAAGATCCATAGCAGATAATGTAGAAAAAAGGCACTCGTCGACCGACATCGAAACCCACGACATCGAGTAGCACATATCAAGAAACGTCGCTCTTCAAAATATCACTACGTCGAATTGGTTAGCGAAACGTTACGGTAAGTGCTAATTCATACACGATCTGCCGACCGGAGGAAATATTTCTTTTGTAAGAGCAAGACGTGTCATCTCTGGAAATAGACTTAAATAATCTCATTAGCAATGATGCAGGTTATACTGAGATATTTTAGATTTATGGACTGCTAACGTTGTTTCTTGAAAATAAATCTCTTATGAACAAACAATCTTTGCTTTATTTCCTCGAAGCTTTGTTTTTTTCCTCGTAGAAATCCCTCCGTGCGGTAATTGTGTTTCAGGAGGATTTACAGAGAAAATAGCTTTTACAGGTCAGATTACCAAGAAATTAAGCGCTTATCTCCCCACAAAAGCGGGAAAACATAAAAAAAATTTTGCATATGTAAAAGCAGAATAAATTCGCACTCTTAACCTATAGAGACGCGAAAAAACATTTCTAAAAACATATGGAACGGATATCCCCCTGCGGGAAGGAAAAAAAAATTACATGTTGAAATTCCCTATGCCTTTCAAGACGAGTTGAAAATGATTATAAGAACTTTAATAAAAGTTCCTTTTGATTTCACACAAGCAAATCACTGAATATAAGCAATGCACGAAGGTAAATAATAATACAATTTATTTTCATGACTTGACAGTGAGTTATGGAAATGTCTAGACTAACGTGGGTCGCTTCGATTTTTATATCAGAAAAAACAACAGCTGTTTTACAATGGATAAACCGAATTATATTTTTATGTCGTTCGCGTCTTTGCCAAGTTATCTCAGGGAATTGCTCGGCACCGGCGACAAACGTATAGTTGATAAACAATTAAATTATTTTCAATGGTGACCTTTCTCTCTTCTAAGGGCCTGTAAGTGATTTGTGAAAATTACCAGCATTGAATCTCTTAATCCAGCCAAAATTATCATCCAAACACCACGCTCCAAACAAAGAAAAAAAGAGTGAGTCAGTTAAATTTTTTAAAAAATCACCATAAAATACAAATGTTCCATACGCAGGAAATCGCGTTCTATAGATTGCATTTGCATTTTTGTTTTTTGCTACAAAATTTATCCACCGTTTATTGTCTGAAAAAGTAACCCCCTTGCACAGCATAATAAACAATACCACAGGAAAGTACTGCTCATTAGTTTTCATTTGAATGGTCACAATTTAGGATTTCATCCACAGACTGAAAAGTTAGAACCACCTTGTACAGCATAATAAACAGTACCACAGGAAAGTACTGCTCAGTAGCTTTTATTTGAATGGTCACACTTAAGGATTTCATCCACAGACTCAAAAGTTAGAACCACCTGGTACAGCCGGCATATTCCTGAATCCTACTGCTCACATGCTTTCGTTGGAATTTTATTTCAGGAAAAGACGACGAGTGAATATCAATGCCACAAAAAACTCTTCCCACGATCATTAATTTAATCTGTTTTGTAGCAGAGGTTTTGGCCTCAATTTTCAAAACAATTAACGCGATCAAATCTGACTGAAAAACAATTATGCCTTAAAATTTTAGGCGCAAAAAAATTAAAATGTCATTTAAAGGAGCTATAAATACGCACAAAAAAATCAACACTAAATTGTTCAGATAGATATTGCGATTTACATGACGATAAGACGAGAAACAGAAAAAATGCTGTTAGAACATACATATATTTTACCATTTTCCCCTTTTCATGAGATCAATTGACGTGAAAGTTGTAAACTTATTGCGGGCGACAAGAGGAGCGCACAATCCTAATCTCCAGGTTGTTATTACGCATGCGTCGCATCTATGTAGCAAGCAGCTCTCTCCCTTTTTCCCTTCCATCTTTCCCCTTTTCCCCAGAAACGCCTGATACTCAGGCTACAAGCATTCATTTGGACTTTCACTAAGAATGAGTGGAATGCAGAGAATGCAATTTGATGACGCGCGTTTGGACCATCTATCACTCGTGATTGGATCACGCCTGTTTTGACCCTCTGACAATTGAAACTTACGCAAAGGACAGCGTTGGAGCAAAAACGTTTTGACCTTCGATCGTTGTCGCCCAGACACCGTAATGTTTGGTTATTACTATACGAGTAACATTAACATGAGCGACCAAGAAAAAACTTACTTTGAAATTGTGCTTTTCGAGAATGCTGGTCACCTAAGGTAATGCAGGTAACAGCACTCCGAAATCCACATTCGCGCAAAGATAATACGTTCTACATTTGGGACTGAGATTCTTAAAAACCCACAGTTGGCGTGAGAAACTTTGGAAATTCTACAAAAAACAAATGCCCGGGTGATATGGCTGTGCGCATGCTCACGCCTTTGGTCGGTGTACGAGTGCCACTTGTTCTAGCCGGTTTTATTAAGGAAGGAATTTCGAGGACACGCGCGCGCACGAGGAGAGAAAAGCCGAGGAGGCCTTCACTCCCCCGCGTGTTTCCCTCACTCTTTATAAAAACTACCAAACATACCAAACAGCGCCTGCCATGCAGGCTACACTTGCTCTTAAGTTTGTCTTAATTTCAGTCAAGAGAGGGATTCAAAACGGAAAATACCATAATACTCTTTAAATTCCCGTTTGGTTGGTGCTTCATGTAACCCCAACTTTTGCAATACCTTTTGTTCTCCGCACGATACGCATGCGCAATGCATCGGCTCCTTATAAATTTGCATACACTACACGTGTAGTTCGTGCAAAAAAACAAAACAAAACAAAAAAATACTGCGAAAGTAAGGCTTACATGAAGCACCACCCAAACCACAGTTTGACGAATATTATGGTATTTTCCGCCCCGAACAATTCCAAAATTGTCAAGGTAAACCACATATTCTGAGTGTGAATGGATGTTTATTGAACCAAAATACAACTACCAATAACCGCGAATGTTGAAATTTTTACAAATGTTCACTTCGCATCAGAAACAATACTTCAAAATCATTTTGATGTACACTTACTCTAGTGTAGCGCAATAAAACATGCTTCATTCCACGCGTTCGTTCTTCAGCCACGTAAAAATGCATGCTTTGACAGAGTCAATTAACTTGTGTTTACTAACACAAGATCGAGATAGTCCCGCGCCCGGAATCCATATCGATGAAGAGTATCGGAAAAAACTATCGGTAAAAATAATCCCCCAGAAACGTCGATCGCGATTATTTGAACCAAGAAAGAAATAAAATACAATGGTTCAGTCTCTAACTTCTTTTGGATCATAGTTGTCTTTTTAACAGACCCTCTAGATAGTGTCCTCTTTTTTTTCAACAGGAGGGGTGGGAGACGATGACTTGGGCATTTCTGGCTCTCCACTATGACCCCCTTCAGATAGCAGCGTGTTACGTGCCTCAGGTCTTTCAATGTTTGTACTGACCCCCTCTGGGGATGCCAGATCATCGGTTCCGTCATTTACAACGGGAGGGGTGGGTGACGGCTTCTCATCCGTGACTGGTCTTTGCGGAGGAGCTTCTCCTTCAACTTTAGGAGAGGAGACTATAAATCCGTCTTGGACTGTGGGAGATGTCGGTGAGGCTAACTCGTCATTGATTTGTTTCCCCGTTGGGTCTGGAGCAAGTAGCCCTCTCAACGTTTGAACATTGTCAGCGGTATTCCCAGTCTCTGACGGCTTGTTGCCACTAGCAACCGTCGCATCAGTTGCTTCAGCGGTTTTGTTTTCATCTTTAGAATTTGTACCTTCTGCGTTTGCACGCGCGTTTTCTTGCGAGTTCCCACGCGCATTCCCTTGATTCAACAACAAACCAATGAACGATGGAGAAACATTCGGGAAGGCGTTACGGGCCAGTCTCATCAAGTCGCTATTCGGCTGGGTACCCTGTGTCAGGATAGGTTCCTGCAACGGTTTGGTCGGCGACGGCAGTTCGTCTAAGTCAATCATTACCACGTCGTCTTTAGGAGCGGAAGTGCTCGTTGCTGGCGTCGTATTTGCAGACGTCGACAAGGTGTTTAGAAGAGTCGAGGGCAAAGACTGCCCCAACTGTGTAACAGGAACTCCAGCACGGACCAAAGAAGCGAGAGGGATGGGGAGGTGTGCCACAGGGGAGGGGTAAGGATGAACGTTTTGCTGATGAGATGAGATGGAAGCTGAGTTGTTGCATTGCTGTGAAATTGGTCCAGCTGGATTAACTGGTTTTGGTACATAAACATGATTGGGTCTAGAGAAGCGGTTTAAAACAAAATGCAAGAACATATCAATCATTTTCCCAACCTCGTTCCAAGGCTCCTCTCCTGCTCGTCCTCTGGAGCGAGAGAGGGCCCTGGGAACGAGCTTGTCATTTTCTCGGCTGTTTTTCTCTTTCTTTATGTCAGTAGCACGCGAGCATGATGAAATAGCATCAAAGACAACTTAACACGAATACAACGATCCCAGAAGCAAACCGGAAGACGATTATTAGCGAGGCTTCGTGGCCAAGGAACTACAAAAAATGTCGGACGAAGAAATGAGAAATATTATTATAGACACGGGTAAATTTAAGAGTACTTCAGCGGCGTAAGTAAGTGTAAAACACAACAAACAAATGGGAGCCAAAAAAAATTTCCCACGTTCATAGATTTCATCTCTGCCAATAGTCCTCATCGAAGAAATTTCGACTTTCGCTTTCAAGATAACTGAGCGATTTCTCGCGCGCTGATTGGTGGAGAGCTATGCTCGACAAGAGTACAGACCAAGGAAATGACGTCATGGTGGCGCCATTTGTTTTTCCCTTTCTCGCGCACACGATTCTCCAAGAAACTTCAACAGAAACGGACGACAAAACTATAAAAATCGACTTTTGTCGATTTGCTAACAATACATTTTTTGTTTGTTTTTTTTTTTCCCTAAAGACAAGTGATCTTCACGAGTGAAGATAACAAGTTCAGCCGTGTCTACGTAATAAAAAGAACAGAGAATTTCCGGAGTTCCAAAACCCTCTTTTTCGGACCAGGGCTGCGCGAGAAACGTTTCTTGTGAAAATGAGTTTCTTCGCATGA